TTTTTTTTTTTTTTTTAATAATTAATCTTGTCACATGAATCATGCTTTAAAAAAAGATTTTTTGCAACTAACAGTGCCAGTGTTTCAAGAATACGAAATCAAAGCATGTAGATCATTGATCCATGTTGAAAAATTGATTATGAAGATATAATTGAATTTTATTTATGTAGCGAATGAAATAATGGAATTATTAGATTTATTAGATTTATTAGATTATATTTATAAAAGAGCTTACATTAATAAAAGATTGTTTGTTGAGTACGAAGAATGTTTGTGTTTGTATCGTTCCTTGCATTGTATTAACGCAAATACAAATTGCATTACATGTGGATGAAACGCATGAGCAAAAGTAGGATAACCTCCGTGAAACATGTACGAACCTCTGAAATGGCACGAGTATGTAATTATGTTCAAAGGAAACAGTGGAACAATGCAATCCGACTATTCAGCGCTGTAAGTGTTTTGTTCGTTATTTCAATTATTGTCAATTCTGTGATCATTCATTATTTTTATTCCGATTAGAAAGTATCTCCTAACCTAAAAAGTCCTGTGCAAGTTGACTTAATCGGACCACCGGATCCGATTTCGAACTTGAGACCGATTATTTTCGCAAAGTCTGAGAATGAGAGCAGATTGGAAAAGGAATTCAGAGAAGCCAGAGAAGACACGCAAATCTGGAATCAAAATTTCTGGACGGAACACAACAATAATTTTCAAAAGGTGCGACACGATTCTTACATAACGTCGTTGTGGAAGTACGTTTCAAATTTTAATTTATTGAATGCACATAGGAACGTAGACGATTTCAGGAAACCCTGAAAGCACAGGGGAAGACGTCGATCACCGCGGATGATATGTCAATGTTTTACAAAGAATTTTTAGATAAGAACTGGCAGATGCACTTTAACTATAATATCGCATGGTATAAAAGGAACATTAAGTTGTTACTCCTTGAGATCAGAGTAAGGATATCTAAATTAAAACTTAGATAGTTAGTAGTATTCATTGAATATAGTATATTGTATATGTTTACAATGTAAATTTGTATTTATACTTTACTTGCAAGTAAAATATATGCTTTATGATATACAAAAATACTTATTCGTACGCAATTTTGTTGAATATTTCAAAGGAAACTTCATAATTACATAAACAATTGCAACTAAGTTCAATTGTCATTGGCATACTATGTAGTCATTTATTTTTCAAATAACTTTCATGTTATTTTGACATATTTGATTCCTTAAACATCCTATCTCGTGTTCTCTTTTTTCAATAATTAGTGCCATGTACCTGTGTTGTTGTCTCTCACAAATGAGTCTTTTTTGATATTCTTTTATAGATTGATGCAACTTTTGATAAGCAAATTTCGCAACTATTATTGCTTTCTCTTTCTCCTTTTTCAAATAATCTATTTCAGTTGTAAGTCTTCTGCATGTTTCACATTGTGATAAGTATACCTTGTTCAATTTACTATCAGTTTCGTCCAGTGTTGTTTGTAAAGATTCATTCCTCTCTTTTTCCTTGTGTAATTCATCTTTAAGTTCATTGAATTCAGAAGCAACTTGTTGAACCATTTCCTCACTGTCATGCAGCAACTAAAAAAAATAGATATTTTTCAAGATAATTTAAATTTAAATTTAAATTCATAATTTTAATAAATTCAAATAATCTTAACAGAATAAAAATAATTTACCTTCTTTTGCTTTGAAATTGTCTTATTTTGCTCCTCTATAATTTTGTCTTTTATTCTCAATTCAGACAAATGATTTTCTTTGAGAACTTCTAATTCCTCTTTCAACTGGTTACAATTTTTTGTCTCTTCGCATAGACAATATTGCAAATGGTGCATTCTTTCCTCCATTTCTTTGAAAGTAGAATCACTTGATTGTAACATGTTTTTCATCTCTAATATCTCAATATTCTGTCAGCATAACAACATAATCAGTATAAAATTACAATTTGCTCCTTTTCACTTAATTTACCTTCTGAGATAATTCTTTGTCTCTTTCGTGCATGCTATGCTGCTGATTGTTACATATACCAGTTATTTCACATATTCGTCTCTTTTGTATATTAATTACATTTGTAAGTTCCAAGATCATATCCATAAATTCTGCTCTCTCTTTGTTCGACGCATTTTCTTTTTCTTTTACTGCATGTTTCATTCTATTCACTTCTTTCTCAACTTCTTCACACCTTGTACGATTGAAGCATGCATTTAATATCTGCAGTGATTCTTAGATTACATTTTAAAGAAATAAGAATTAATTCATTTAAAGTTACATGAAATTACCTTTTAGATTCATCCTCTGATAAAGTTTCCAATTTGCTCTTTAAATTATCACGTTCTTGCAACAGATCTGCGTTTTTGTGCGTAACTTCTACTATTTGCTGCTGAAAAGATAATTATGTCATTGTTAACGAAATTTATTTTATCATCACTTTTCTCTCGAATATATACTTGTAATTTCGAAATTTCATTCAGTAACTCATCCCTGTCTGTTTTAACCAAATCTGCTTGATCCTTTGACTGTTTTGCCAAGTCCATTGCAACTTTTCTTTGTTCTTCAGCTGTTACCAATGCATCTCTTAAACAAGTTGCTTTCTGTTCACTGTCCTCTTTCAGACAATTTAAACTGCAAGTTAGAGATTTCAGTTTTTTTTCAAGCTCTTTAGTACGTCTTTTTTCATTTAAGAGATCCTATAAATTACGTATTATATGAATTTAAATACACGAGAAATAATCGTTTTAAATAAATAAACCTTTTGAATTCTCTCAAAAATTTTCTTGTCTTTGAAGCAAATGTCTTCCACGATGGAATCAATTTTTCCCAATTCATTCGAAACGTTTTCATTTATTTCTACTTGGGATTTTTCCTGCTTTGCTACTTCATTTTGTACATAATTTGTGCCCAGACTATTTATACTTGATTCAGTGCGAGAATTGTCTTTCGTTGGAATTGTTTGCTCGCCTTTCTCTTCGTATGTGTCAATTGTTTTATCTTGAGTATACATTTTATAAAACGAAGTTAAGTTCGCTTGGTCGGATTTACTTTGTTTCTCTGGCTCTTCCAACTCTTTACCAACTGCATCATTTTTCATATTGACTTCACTTCTCAAATGTGTCTGAACTAATGAAACAATTTTGCATTAATAATACAGTCAGTAATAGGCCGTTGTTTGAGTTGATTAATGATATTGATGATACCAACCTTCTGTTGGAGAAGCTTTTTTATGAAAATGTAGTTTTCTGTGTGTTTTGCATGTTACTGCGTTACATGGTATTTTCTTCTTAATACTGTCATGCGATACACACTCTTCAGTATAGTTGAATCTATTGCATTGCTCTTTTAAAGAGAAAATTTTGTGGGCACAGTGACAATATTTGCCAATGTTATTGTACACATTACACTGTGATGAAATATATTAGTTTCAAATATATTAATTTCATCAACTTACTGCTGTGCTGTGTTGTATTTACTTTTTTACATGTAGACACGCTACACTCTTCTTCCATTTTCTGCAATTTGGCAATAATCGACAGTTGTCTATTCAGGGCATCAAGACGCGTTGAGATGTTGTACATTCCAAATTTTAATTAAAACCTTAAAAATATTAGTCATAATATTAATTTGTATCTTTTTCGTGGATACCTAAATTACTGACATTTAAGTAAAAATAAATGATAGACATGAAACTATTACATGCATTACGTCTTACGTATAGATAGTCTTATTTTTTATATATATATATAATCTTTCGATTTATCATTGACTGAACGTGTACAAAATTTATTTTGAACAGATATTTACGACCTATTTTTGAGAAGCGACGAATTAAAAAGTAAAGGACAAAATGCAAAATAACAGTAGCGGGCATTTATCTACTAACAAAAAATGTAGATACTTTTAACACTATCGTATTTGTGCGATGTATCGTTGTTACTTAAAGCTGCTTCAGCAAAAAGGATCGTATTATATATCGTGGAATATCTTATTCCTTTGGGGATTTGGATTATGGATAGCTCTATGCACAAGTAATGTATATCATTCAATCGTTTCAAAGCAGCAAGGTAAACATTTCGTACGATGAATTTAGTTTTAATCAATGCAATGATTTCTCATTCAACTACGTTATTTTATTTGCAAGATTCAGATTTCGAAGTTTTGCATAATATTTCGACAGAAACGGAGACTATAAAGGAAATGTTATACATTACGAAAACAAACCACACTTTTTGTAACGTGATAATAATGTTAAAAACTGTGCTGCAATATATTTATGCCTTTGTATCTATATCTTTTGTGATATTTTTCGCATGTTCGCACGGATCCTTTATGAAAGTGATAAAAATATGCAATAACACGTAAGTAAAAAATTCGTAAAAGACGAGTGACTATATCATTACAAATAATTTTTAATTTGAATAAAACTTTAATTTGAATAGTTTTTAATTTGAATAAAACTTTCATAGGATATGCAACTTTTATTTCACAACTTTCGTAAAAAGTAAGAAAAATATTTATAATAAAGATGACTCGAATGAAAAGAACTCTGCCGTGTTAAAATTAATACCAAATTCTACGACTAGTACAAAATATGTACAAACAGAATTCAGTTGCGATGATGAAGATAAATGGACTTTGATAAGGAACAGAAATAAAAATATATTGGATACAGATATGAATATTATTCAAAGTGAAATTATTTTTACTAGTCGTACATTGTTATTTTTCAATAACTGTGAACTTTATCGATACTTCAACGATCATCGATTAAAAAATCATCTGTTGACGAAATATTTCGCACGCCAAGATTCCGTGTATGTAGAAAACAATTTGAAAACTTCGAATGAGTATGAAAAGAATGATAGAATTCTACCAAAAAAATTCATAAAAAGAGGTATCGTTAGTTCTTCTCCGGAATTTAAAAAATTCCTAGCAAATCTTAAAAAATCTGAACTTTTTTATCCATGCATGTTAGAAGTGTCGGCGAGTTATGTGATTCGTATAAAATCAACTTGCAAATCATCACGATTAAACGACTAATAATCATTTTAAATAAAATATTCTTATTTGTACGAGTGTTTCTATTTTGAACTTTTATAATATAAATATACCACAGAAAGGCAGAGATATTTACACTAATATATTTTTTAAATCAATTGTTTACTATTCTAACATGATGTACAATTGATATTTGTAACAAATTTATCCATGAAAATTATTTTCATGGAAAGCGTTACGAACACACACAGTAGTTTGGGAATTACTTATATTTTTTTTTGTTATATAAAATATTTTCAAAAGTTTAACAATTCCGAACGTATATTCAAATTAGTTAAAAAGAGTACGCAATATCGCAGCATTACAAATATATTTTATATTAAACTATTTACAGTTTTCGATATGATTTAAAAAAATAAAGAAATGAGACGACGGATTTAATATTTAAACTAGTCTAAGCAATGTTAAAAAAGATATAAAATTGTAATCTTAAAGTATAATAAAAATATTATTTGTTGGAACTTTATGCGCTATTTTGTAAAACTAATCGCGTTCTTTTTGCATTACCTGGTTTGCAACTGTTTACATTGCTAGCAAATCTTAATGAATTCAATGTTTCATTGTAACATTCGTCTAAAGGAGATACGTTCAGTAACATTAAAGTCTTTGAATTGCCACCTAAAGACGGCATTAATAAATGAGTGAGTTTCGAATTTCTATACGGAATGTGTTCCTGCTTTTTTAAAAGGGCCAGAATAACATTGCCCAAATTTGCCAGCGATTTATTAATATTTTTTGTCTCTGTCAATCGTGCCGATTCTTCTCCTTTCAATCTTTCAGATCCCGCTAAGTCAACTAAGTTCAAGTTTCCTACTGAAACCTCTTCCTTTGATTGATGTGTCCCTATAAGTTTTATTCTTGCTACTGAATGCGATCTTGACGAGCTGAAAAAATTAAGTTTCACATTTATTTCTAGACCTATTTTATTTCTACTTATGGGATAAAAAATTTACCGTTCGTTTGACAGAGTAGCCGCAACTGCTCTATTACGTTGCGCTGTTAAAAGACATTCGTGCAATTCTTCAGGACTATTAATTTCCTCTACTCTGAGATTACTGACGTACAAATCGTGCCCTTTACTATCAGCCATTCTAATTTCATGTGTCTTTGGTTGAGAATCGAGCAAGTCGACAATATGTTCATTGTAAATCTCAAGGAAACTTGCTTCTATTCGATATTGCCAACCAAGCAATTGAAATTCTTTCATTTCTTGAAATATATGTCTCACCTGAATCATTAAAAAAATCACGTTGTTTTAGATTACAAGTAATAAATAATATATATACATATAACAGCACATACTGTTCTAGGTATCATGCCCTCCTTTTCAAGGCCTGGTAAACCTTCCATAGTATATGTTTTTCCAGAACCAGTCTGGCCATATGCAAACACACAGACATTATATCCTTCTAAGGCAGATTGAACCAACAGGGCTAATTCTTCAAAAATATCTTCCTGACTAGTAGTTGGAGGAAAAACCTTGTCAAAAGAAAATTCTTGCTTGGTTAGTCTTGGCCTTCCACTACAACTAACTGAATCAGATCCATCAAATTTTCCCACTTCAATAGTACATTCATCTATGAAATTCATATTACACATCCTGGAGAAGATACAAGTATCTTTAAGAAAATATATTGTGTTTAAAAGTCAAACGTTCATATATACATACGCTTTTCCAAGTTCGTTTGGAGTCCTAGGACGAACTCTGCAAAATACCCTGATGTTTCCTTTCAGTTCTTGTATTGCATTATGGAGGACTCTACGATCTTTGTCCATTGTGTGAACCAATGTTTGCAAATCACTTTTAACTGTACTTAATTCCTTATTCATCTTCTTCTCAACCTCCAAATTAGCTTTTAAATCTTCTATTACCAATTCGTGTTTGGACAGTAGTGACTCTTGAGAGGAACATTTTTGTCGAACCTCTACCAACATATCTGAAACATTTTTATACGATTTCTCTGACTCTTTCAGACGTTCTGTTAAACTTTCTTTTTCTTTCTGCAATTTATTCATTTCTACTTTTAATTCTTTCAGCTCGTTGTCCAATGTTTTATTCAAATTTTCATATTCTTCTGCCTTCAGTTTGTAGACATTTTCATTTGCCTTCAACGTGTTCACCTGTTCTTGTAGTTCACCGTTTTCTGCTTTGGTTTCCTTGTACTTTTGTCGCACGTTAGATAACTCGTCAGTCTTGTGGGCTAATTGACCCTTCAAGTCCCATTTAGAAGGTTTGGTAATATTAGTACTTTGTACTTTCTGTGCTGCAGTGTTCCGACTAGATTTGTTGGTAACATTATTTCTCAATGTAGCACCAGTTCGTTGTGTAATCGTCGTTTTAACAGGAGGCTTGGCAAAAGTTGGTTTCTTGGTTTCTCCATGTGTAATAGGAGCAATGGCTGGTCTCTTTACAGCCTTAGTGCTAATGGAAGACATAGTCTTTGATCTGGTGAAAGTTTGTTTGGCCGGTGGAAGTTTATTTTCATTTGTACACTTTGTGATATTCATTGTGCTTTGAGACTTTTCCAATTTATTAGAAATACCGTTAGAACTTGCATGAGGCAGCAGGTCATTTTGATTCTTTGTCATCTTCTGGTCACTCTTCTCCACGCTAGGGTTTACCGTGTTATTGATTATACTTGACAAATTGATTTTTGGCTTTGGCAACCGCGACTGCATCTGAACATTAAGATCACTCATTAAGATCAATAGATTGGTGACAAAATTAAAGTACATGCTTCAAAAAAATTCACAGCTTAAGCTCATACATGCAAAAACGAAAACTTTCGGCTGTATTTAGTTATTACTATTATCAGACTATTCCTCTTCTACCTGTTCATGCTTCGTTAAACCACGCTCTATTCAATAAAAGTATTTCGTTACCAATCGTATGTGTAAAATACGCATGTTCGTGATAAGAAATCTCTGTATACGAACGACATAAGCAACTAATCTAATAAAACAAACCTCGTTTCACAAAATAACACAATCAAATCCTTCGCAGTAGCACGTCTATCAACTATTTGTTTATCGTTGAATTACCTAATAGTTTCATAACAGTATTATTTAACATGAGAGCACATGTTTTTTTCGTGATATCTATGTATAATCAGAATCAAATGAATCGCAATACCGGCACAGAAAGAAGAGAAACGACGTGTTGTTTTACTCCACAGCTTCAACGGTTAAATAACATCTGCTGCACTTATTTGAACTTGAATTTGCCCGAACACGACCAATCAGGGAGCTCAATGTACAAGAACCAATCATTTGACGGCACACAAAAAGATTCTACCAATGGCAATTCATTACTAATCTTGTTTCGTTGTACAGGGTGTCGTATTTAAAAACTTCAAATATCTCTGTTAGCCTCAGAAATCGAGTTTAAAACAAATTTTATTTACAAAACAATAAGGCGAAGAGAAATCTTTGAAGTGCATTCTTCATCTGCACTATATAATTTTATCTAATAAAATTTATCTTAGTTCAGTTGGCTTAGTCCAATTAGGACGAAGAACACCCTGTATATTAACGATCTCGTGTATTGCTTGAAAAAGGAAGTAGTTATCAAATTGAATAATTCTACAAATATATAAATTGTTCAGCTAAATAAATCCATCGTAAAAGTATTTTCACAGACAACTACACGATATACGAATTTTCGCAATAAATTTTAAAATTTCTTCGGAATGTGTAGATTTCTTCATTATCGACTAAGACGTGATAAAGAACTTGCATAATAGTATTTCAGATGGCAGAGTTTGTATTCCCATGAAAATGTGACGTTTCTGTGGACACGTTGTCACACGTGAATACACGAATCTTCATACAGCTCGCTTTTGCGCATGCGTGCCAATGTGGTAGCAAGATTTTCGATTTTCGCGGACGTTGTGTGACACTTGTTTTAGAGAAAATTGAGCACAAAGAACGATGTCGGGGAAATCGAAAGCATTTACCAAAGAAGAAGAGCTTCTTCTTCAGGACTTCTCGCGGAACGTGTCAACGAAATCTTCGGCTTTATTTTATGGCAACGCGTTCATCGTTTCGGCGATCCCCATCTGTGAGTACACATCCCTGAAACGTTCAGAAATATAATTCGCACGATTATCCTTTCGTTGTTTATAAATTCCACATTGAATTTTAGCATATGTTTGTATTATGACTACGCGGAAGAGCAAGCAATTACACGGAGATTACGACTTTTCTTAACATAACCTCTATCTTTGTGTTGCAGGGCTCTTCTGGAGAATTCACTTGATCGACATTTACGCTAATTTAATTTCCTTTGTTCTTGTCACACTGACGAGTACCTACGCCCTCGCCCTGGCATATAAAAATACAAAATTCGTGCTGAAGCACAAGGTATTTATACACTGCTATTAGAACGTTGTATTCACATTATTGTTAGATTTACTGAGATTTAATATTTTTTCGTAGATTGCAGTGAAAAGAGAAGACGCAGTAACGAAGGAAATGAGCAGAAAGTTGGCGGAGGATAAAAAGATGAGCAAGAAAGAAAAGGATGAAAGGTAAAGATTAATTGAACGCAGGATGCGTTGAACTTATGTACATGTGCGATTGGAATACATGTATAAAGATGAAAATTTTCAGGATTTTGTGGAAGAAAAACGAGGTGGCCGATTACGAAGCGACGACGTTTTCAATCTTCTACAATAACGCGTTATTTTTAGCCCTTGTAATTGTATCTTCTTTCTACATTCTGAAGACATTCACACCAGCTGTAAATTACATATTCTCTGTGGGTGCAACGAGCGCGTTGCTAGCGCTGTTATCAACTGGATCTCAGTAAAATGTACGCTGTGTGAAACGCATGATGGTGATCATTTAAATCGTCAAATCAGATATTTGTGCAAGGCTCTGCGACTGTTTTCACGAATGAATGAATACATACATGTAATAAAAATCTTTTTTATTTATAGTAACTTTATCGATCTGTGTTATTAAATTCACCCCTGAACCGAGATCGTTATTAGAAAGTATTTCTATGTTATAATGTTAAGATAAATATATTTTATATTTAGTCAGACGAAAAGTAATCACGTTGCTTTTATATCATTTGCTTAAGTAACAATCTCTGTCAAGAAACGGCTGAGAAAATCAATGGGCCATGTACTGTGTCATGCAGAAAATTTCACGACTCTTGTAACGATGCATTATGGTTTACTGTCGTTTGCAAGCCGAACGTTTTCGCATAAATTAATTAAGTTGGTTTCATTGCAGTTGATGAATTATAACGGATTGCAGATTGTAATCTATTATAACGCAGTCCAACGCTGGCCATTCTAATGCTTTATTTGCTTGTTTAACTTGGAGCCATGCCAGCGTATAACCCGTCGAAAGGAAATCTCTCGCCAAATTGTGTATTCTATTCCTGTGCAGAAGTGAAAATGCAAACATTCACTTACAATACGCTGTGTTATTATCATTTACGATTGCACAATCGTCGTGCTTGGCAACTGGTAATTTAAATTAATAAATTTGCGAATGAGAAATTGCGAAATTGAATTGATGCCTATATCTCAGAGATGAATTTACCGATTTACCAATTTATGTTTATTTAGTCTTCGCTGCGTCTTTAAGTGTCTTGCACATCGTCATAGAATTATCCTGTGCGTTTCGAAAGTTTTTATAACACTAAGGAGCTCATAGTAACGCAATCGCGCGGTTGTGCACTTGGCAAAGACACATCAGGTTCCTTGTTTGATTTATACCACCGCGTGATATTCACGTAATTCTGACAATTTTCTTCGGATAAATCGAGATTCGATTATTACACAGGAAATATTGAAAATTGGAGCCAACCGGAGATTCGAATTCCTCGACGATTAAATTAAAAACGTTCGACAATTTCTTAGATCGTTGATAAATGGTAAACTACAGTTTTTACTATGCCATATTGTATTACTATAGTATATGTATTACTATAGTACATGTATTATATTACTATAGTAAATTATTCCTTCACCGTTTTCGAATTTTTTCCAAATATTAAACATTTTCCAGTCAACTTGCACATCTTGTGGATAATCCGGGATAAACTGAACCCATGCTTGATCAATTATGCACTGACAAAGTCTCGAGAAAGGGGAAACAGAATTCCAAGTTTCAGTGTCACAACCCAGAGATTCTCATTGCTCGTTGAATCTCACTGTCAGATTACTGTTAGTTACATTTTAATGTTAAACAAACGAGTCGTTACATAATTTTACATGTTATCAAGGCAATTGCAGCATGCGCCACATTTGAACGCGCATAGGTGAAATTTAAAACTCACCCAGCAAATGAAAAAAATTAAGCAGTTTGCTAATTGAACGCGAGATCGGTTCGAACAATCAGTTCGTCGAGCATTAAAAGTTGGAAACGAAGAGCTTGCAAGTATTTTGAACAACACGAGCTTTAAACAGCTATCGTTCAATTAATTTAAGCCGCGTAAACATATCGCATGTGCCGTGTTCTAAACAATGATATAATTGTCCTCTATAGAGCAAGGTTAAAGAAGTGACGAATGAATTTTAGACAGAGTTTATCGAGAGACGCGAGCTGCACCTTCTTGTCTTCTCGTCGCACCGTCCTGAAGGTCTTGTCTCGATTCCAAGCCATAAGTTCCACATCGATTTTTACTATCGTGCGCCGCCATGTCGTTTTACTGTCGTTTACGCTGACTGTAGATTTTTCATTCTCTATTTTCGTACTGGTTTCGCGCAGTGGATATCATTCTCTCCTTCTCTCGAAGAGACGTGCACGCGATTGGGACGCATAGTCGTCTCAATGAACGGGAATCGTGCGAACGCGTTGCTCCAGCGGACATCTAAAATTAAAAAGGAATTTTATTCCGTCACAATTTCTCCACCTCTGCTGACTTTTATTCTGAATTATTCGTGATTTTTATTCTGAATTATTTACGACTTTCTGCATGATAAAATTTGTTTTTCGTAAACAAAAATTCTCGTTCCTCATAATCCGTTTCGAATAGTCGCAGCTGTCTGAAGGCAGATTTTTGTTTTTGGAAAAGTTTCTGTATATTGCAAAGCAAGTTTCAATTAATCAATTCTTGCTAATTCAAAGAACTCTACAATAAAATATAAAATGATTGATTTCCAAATCTACTCACAATCACAGAAGCCTCTCCCTTTTTAGAAAAGTTTCTGCATATCACAGAACAACTTTCAACTGATTCAACATCTTGCTAATTTAAAGAATTCTACAAAGCTGAAAATGATTGATTTCCAAATCTATTCAATCATAGAAGCTTGTCTCTCCTTTCTGTATATTACAAAGCAGTTTTCAACTGATTAAACATTTTGTTAATTTAGGGAGCCTCACAAAGCTCAAAATAATTAATTTCCAAATCTACTCAATTATAGAATCTTGTCTCTCCTTTCTGTATATTGCAAAGCAATTTTCAATTAATTAATTCTTGCTAATTCAAAGAACTCTACAAAATATAAAATGATTGATTTCCAAATCTACTCACAATCACAGAAGCCTCTTCCTTTTTAGAAAAGTTTCTGCATATCACAGAACAACTTTCAACTGATTCAACATCTTGCTAATTTAAAGAATTCTACAAAGCTGAAAATGATTGATTTCCAAATCTATTCAATCATAGAAGCTTGTTTCTCTTTTCTGTATATTACAAAGCAATTTTCAACTGATTAAACATTTAACATTTTGTTAATTTAGAAAGCTTTACAAAGCTCAAAATAATTAATTTCCAAATCTACTCAATCATAGAATCTTGTCTCTCCTTTCTGTATATTACAAAGCAATTTTCAACTGATTAAACATTCGACACCTTAGAGAACAAAGCCCAAAATAATTGATTTCCAAACCTATTTCAAACGCAGAAGCTTATCTAAACACAGGGCACACAAGAAATATGTATGATCATGTACGTGTACGTATGATTTTTCCATATATAAAAATAGAAGTCCAGAATGCGTAACTAGTAAGAATCCGTGTGATTCTTAGGGAACACGGCGGCAAGGAAGTGCAAAAACGAAAGGGGCTAGAAGAAGCTGGAGCGGCTTGCGGGAAACGAAAAGACGGCCCTGATTTCGAGCCTCGCGGCATCGTCTGCATCCCAGAAATAGCGCAAGCGCCTTTCCAAAAGCTTTGAGGCCCGTGAAGAAACGGATAGAAGAAGCATCACGATTGGCTGGAGGTTGAGGGGCGCGGTGCCGACATCGCCACGCAACCGCTATATCCTCCCTTTCGAATATTATCGCGACGATGGCCGTTTCTCGTGACAGTGCTCGACAGACAGCAACCATATCGCCTACATTCTAACCAAAGCATCGAACCACGCCATTTCTCTTTCTCTCT